GAGAGGCTATTCAATTTTAAGTTGTAGGTTCTTAAATATCGTGCCATCTCTGTCATTTTACAAAGAATTTGTAGTGACAGAATTCCATTCAGTATTCGGGAGTTTCTTTACGTATTTGGGTACATCTTCATTACCAATGGTCTATTAAATTTCGTTATGAATATACTAAGTCCTATTTGTAGAGATTTATTAAAATAAAAAAAAGTTTTCGTGTTATATTTTTAACTAGCGACCCGCCCGGCTTCGCACGTGTGCAATATGCATGTAAACATATAAATATTTCTTAATAATCACTCTATCTATTAAAAAAAACCGTATCGAAATCTGTCGCTTAGTTTTAAAGACAGACAGACGGCGGATAGCGACTTTGTTTTATACTATGTAGTGATAATACTCATTTCAAATAGTACATAAGGCGCAGATAAAATAATGTCCTAGATAATAAGCAAATTCTACCATGATAGCACGTCCTTTCACCTACTTTTAACCTCAGGGAAAAGGCTCTATCTACATTATGAGAACTTTAAAAATCCATTATTTAGAAACTCAATTCATCCAAGGGATGGAGATCGTAAAATTCTTCGCGTAACCCATCCATTTAGAAAGGATGATCCCAAAGTTCCAAAGCTAATATTGGGGTCAAACGATATTTTTTCAAAATATTTGTTTGATAGTTTGGCTAACCTTGATATTTTTCATCAAGAAGGTCAAGAAGATCAATAACGTTTAAAGTAAAATACATAAAATTAATTGCAAACAGATATTGCTGGTAATCTTGGATTTATAACGCTGTCTGTACTGAACGAGTGTTCATTCGAAGCAAACATAGCGAGAGAACACGTAACAGATTCTTAGACAGATATTTAGTCTTACAGCTAAGTGTAAGTATATAAGTGTGGGGGAGACATGCTTCGACACGAATGGGCCGGCTCAACCGGAGGGAGTGAACCATGGCCTCACAGAAAGCTGACGTGAAAAAAACTATTGCAATGCATTTCGTAGTGTAAGTGGTGTTGGTACCGGAGGCCCATTTACTCGCCTCCCCAATCTCCCCAATCCCCGAATTCCCAACAGTCCTCAAATTCCAAATCCCCAAAAGGTCGGTCACAAACTGCTCGTTTACCGGCTAATTCCAAAAAAAAAAATATCGTCTCTAATTCTTTCATCAAATTCCTCTTGGTAATTCACTAATATCTGAATAAGCATCAATTAACACTACGTACGTCACAAAGCAGTTACAAGTGAATGCCCTCTAACTCAATCAACGCAAAAAGAAAGCGGTAAACTAAACCAAAAATAACTTATTCATCCATCTTGCATTTCTGGGAGAGGCTAAAAGGGTCCCGATGACGTCAGTATGGGGTCAATCCACACAACTCGACCAATTTATCTTTAATCCCGGTCTAAATTAACTTGGCAAAATGATTGATCATGCGAATAAGGAACCTTTCTCGAATCGTACACACGACTACATAATATAAATCAATACAAAACCAGTGTATCGTGGTCTCGTTTATTTGACCTTTCCATACATTTAACGGCCAGCTTATACTGGTTATTATAGCTTGATGTGCTGCTGTGTGTACTTAAAAATAGCTGTACCATCTGTTTTTATAAACACATTTTTTTTACTTTCGATCCTATTCAAAGTTTTTGAGTACGGCTTTTGAAGGGAAAGTAAACTGAATGAAGAATTCTTCAGATCCTTATTAGTGAAACGAGGTCTGCTTCGGGACTAAAATTGTGTGGCGAAGGATTTCTAATGCTTATTTTATTTGATTCTTTAGTCTAGTGGTTCCCTTATATCTGCGAGACCTTACACAGTACACATTTATGAGAATCGATATGAGAAAATATCATAAAATGGAATGTTCAGTACTTTTTATGAAACTTTCCTCAAGGTAAAACCAAAATTAGAAATTATATAATTATGTAATACTAACATAACATAACATCACGCCTTTTATGCCCGAAGGGCAAGGCACAGGTGCACATCATCATCACAGTATAATGTAACACCCACTTTTCACAATTTATATTATGAGTCCCATGTAATAGGGAGTGAGCCTATTGCCATATACCGGGCACATTTCTAGACTCCGTGCTTCCACTGAGATTTTTAAAAACCCCAGTAATACTTTGCCCGACCCGGCAATCGAACCCGAGACCCCTTGCCCGGCAGTCGCACTTGCCAATGAGGCAGTCTATGTACTAGTAATACTCTTATGATACAAATCGATTAATATCATTTTATTTCAAAATTAAAAATCTTCATAGATCAACACTTTAATTCGAACTAACTTTACAAGTACATCACTTTTCAATGGCCCTCGAGTTACAATTTGTATAAAATAAATCCTTAGCTCTATGCTTTGTAGACATGACGTCACTTTTTGATACGCCGGCCATTTTTAAATCGAATATGTGTGATGCATTACTTATAGACATCAAAGAGACTATTGCGAGTTCATTTAACGTAAACGCGATCGAAACGTTAACCTCTGATTGGTTGCTTAACTTGGAGCGGACCAATCAGAGTACAGAACGTCATAAACGTGACTATCGCGTTAACGTAAAACAAATTCGCGGTAGGTCTCAGTAACGTCTAGTCAATGTAATGTATGCATTGCGATGTCTGAACTAAAATAGCACAATGTATTTGAATACATTAAAATTGAATTATCTGTTTTTTTATATAATTTACTGGCTTTATTAGTCTAAGTTTAATGGATTTCCAGACTCCGTGCTACCACTGAGATTTTTAAAAACCCCAGTAATACTTTGCCCGACCCGGGAATCGAACCCGAGACCCCTTGCCCGGCAGTCGCACTTGCGACTACTCGGCCAACGAGGCAGTGAACAGTAAATAATTAAATGAAATGCAATATTGAAGTTAAAAACGCGGTAATCAATTTTCTAAACATAACATAACATCACGCCTTTTATTCCCGAAGGGGTAGGCAGGGGTGTACATTATACCACTGTACGATGTAACACCCACTTTTCACTATTTATGTTATGAGTCCCATGTAATAGGGGGTGATCCTCTAATCATCAATTTTCTATATGTTTAATATTATCATTCTGCGTATAAGTTTAATAGTCTTTGTATTATTATATAAGTACGCAGCCACTAACATACAACATAAATATAAGGTATAAATTCATAATTTATTTGCATATAAAACCTTACATTTACGATAAACAACACATCGTGATTTCCCTAATCGGATTCCATTGATTGTAGGTTAACCAATAACCGGCCTGCGAATTAATTATAATAATATCTATCAAAACATTATATTTTTAACACAAACCGCAGAGCAATATAACAAACAAGTTATTAGAACCTTTTCTAAAAATAAAACCCGTAAAACCCCCATCGAATTTTCGCGAATGAAGATCGGACGTCAAACAAAATACTTTCTCTATATTTTCTAACCATCAATCAGTTAAATTAGTAATTTATTTGCAAATTAATTCCTATAAACCTTTCGCATGTATCGTAACAGCTTGTTTTGTATTTCCCAAAGAAATATAAGCTCAAGACAGATCGCGATGGAGAAGGTCAGTGGACGCCCTCTGCCCCATCTATGGTACAAGTAAGTCAAGTAAATTAAGTCAAAGAAACAGAAGGAAATATACATAATAGAACAAAACATATTTTCTCGCTATTTGTTTCTTTACGGAACCTATATAGAGGTATGTTAAAATGTACCTAATGAGAAATCCTAATATTTTATACAATATAGACTGCTTCTCTGGCCGAGTGGTCGTCGCACTTGCGACCACTCGGCAATCTCGGGTTCGATTCCCGGGTCGGGCAAAGTATACCGGGTTTTTTTTTAAATATCAGTTGTAGTACGGAGTCTGGAAATGTGCCCGGTATATGGCAATAGGCTCACCCCCTATTACATAGGACTCATAACATAAATAGTGAAAAGTAGGTGTTACTTCTGTGTGCACTTCTGCCTACCCCTTCGGGGATAAAAAGGCGTGATGTTATATTATGTTACAATATAGTACATCTACTTACTAAAAATGTTGTACCTGATCAAACCAAACCAATTTAGTTTTATCTAGAAATCAAATTCAAGATCCACTTTAACCACAGTACGTCTAGAGCTCTGAAGCCTTTTTACGTAGAATTAACAACAAAAATAAACACCACCCACTTGGTACTATGACGTAAAAGGTAATAATCACTTAGATATAATTTAAGAGCAATAAGTGGTAATTGACAATTCAACTATATTTTATCAATCACTATTTTATAAACGAAGATTTTCCCTCAAACAAAGAATTTTATTACTGGACTATAGTTATGGCATGACCACTAAAATTGGTACTCAGTATGGCAAATGCCTGACCCAGAGCTGTGGTCAACTTAATAGATGGACCGAAGCTTCGCTCGAAGTAGGAGTAGGAACGGGGTGGTTTTTAATCAGTAAGAGTCTGACACTCCCTCTCGCCTCACCCAACGCGGGAGCAGTCATTGGATGACTTTCTCCCTTAAAAAAGAAAAAGTATTCCAATTTTAAAATGCAAAAGACCCCAATTTATTTCAATCAATGAAACCGGTAATAAACTTGGCTAACAATAAAATAACAACAGTTGCCGAACGTGATAATCTCAATAACATAACTGTATAAGTAGCTAAGGTGTCAGAACATATATTAATGACTTATAATTTACATTAAATGTAGAATCTTTGAATAAATCATTGCAATCACTAGGAAATTTTGGTTTTAAAGGAAAATAGTAATGAGGAAAAGCTATTTTCTCAAGTGCGTGCGTACTAGTAGGTTTGTAGAAGGCCTGTCTGTAACCTTTCAATTTAAACGTACGTTGTGTCCGTAACATAAGAGCAATAAAAACAATTCATAGTCACGAAAAAATGTGTCTAGTAATAATTATTCTGCACAAAATCGGTGACACAGATTTGTAATAAACACGCATTTGTTATTAAACAATAATATTTGTTACAAAAAAATACTCACTTTTTAACGCCCATCTCTTGTTCATAATCAATCCATCCAGGAATTTGTATCCATGCTCTCTGCACGTTGTCTCCTTCACGCTAGCAACTGCACTAGTTAGGGACAGCAGATCGCTAGCCAACACTACCGAAGACGCGTAATCTGGAGATTCTTCCACATGTCTCACAGACCCATCCCTATTACCGATCTCATCACCATACGCATCATAGGAAGAAGACTTAGTTTCTACAACAGCTTTAGGGTCCCTTTGAACTGTGCCATCAGCTGAATTATTTCTAACTAAACCAGTCAGTCTCGCCACTAAATCGTAATCCACTCCCAAATTTTGAACAGTCCTATTTAGAAGAGCTAATTCTCTTTCGTTCAGAGTCCTATTAGAATTTAATATAGGTGATAATTTTTGTAGCACTTCCTTGTTAAATAATGGAGTGTTAACAGTTTTCGGATCGATGGCGGCGGTTGCCGCGCACGCGATTAGAAAAATCGCCGCGGAAAACATGGCGTCGTGCGCGTGCGCCGTCTCTACCAGTACTGAGGCTTCGATCCTTCGATCATTGAATGTAGTCCTCACTTGGGTTCTGTCGCCTTTTTATTATTGTAATTATTTCATTGTTTCTGATCGGTGGTTGATTATCGGTTAGTTCTCGATCCTTCGATTTAATTTTTAGTTTAGGTCATGAGTAATTTTAGGTTGGTAGCCAATTTAGATTTTTGGTATGTCAATCCAATTTTATTTTAGTTATTCGTATAAAATTAACAAACAATAACATTTATTTATTTATTCTAATGTCAACACCGCGTCGAATTTTATATTAAAAAAAATATTTTAAATTAAAACTGTTGTCACTGTTGGTTTGTTAAAAAAATATTTTAATTGAAGCACACTTAATGTCACTCGGTCCAAGTCATTAGACACTATATTGTATTCATGTTTTTTTCGACAACTTTAAGTTCAAATTGAATAGTACCTACCTAAGTAGATAATACTCTCAAACCTTCACATCAACACGATTCTAAAAAGCACTTTAGTCTTTTCAGATCTCTCTAATATAATTTAACTAAAGAATATATTTGATACCATTGTCAAAAACTGTATCACTGTATAAAAAAAAGATATTTTGTTTAGGGACTAATTTAGACGTTAATTTTTTTTATTCTAAACTTCACTCCTTTGATTTATATTTACAATATATTCTTTATCACATCTTTAAATGACGTTTATGGCTGAGTGTTATCTATTTCATAGAGTATCAGTTGCATTGAGAAACTTTTACAACAGCACTGCATTACACACTCGTAGAATCGACACGGATAAACACAAAAACAATACTGCACAAGGCGAAAAAATGATTTTGAGGGGGGTAACTTCATATTGCATTGATTAGCAAAATAAATATTGCCTTGTACTTAGGTATGGGCAAAACTCGTTATTAAAATAAATATAATGTGCGCTTATTAGTGAGAAGGTCAAGTCTCTAATTAATTACATTCCGTGGATTCAGGCCTTATATCGTACTAAATCTTGACATTCCACTTCAATTTTGATCCTTATCGTAACGGAGATAGAATTTTTATTATTTATTTTTAAGGTTCTTAGTGCACATAAAGAATAGTATAAAAGTGTTAATAACTATATATTTTAAGCTGAAGATTGCTTAGGTTTGATAGAGTGGTCTTGAATATTATTTCTGATTTCGAGGTCCTAAGTTTGTTGCCTAGGTCAGGGATAGTATCGGACTCAGTAATTAGTTGTTTCGAATAAAAATTTTGAGAAACAACACAGGGACACTAAAATTGTCTCTATTGACTTTGGGTCAAAAAATTAAACAAGAAATAAAACTCAAAAAGATTTAATTTTACATTATAAACAACGCTACCTTGAGTATCGATAATATTGAGCTCCGTTACGATTACCATTCGCAGTCCATTCCCATTCGTCAAGATCTTGGTCATCTTCTCTAGGTTCAGATCTCCTTCTTACATAATGTTCTCTTTCCAACCATGATTCATCTTCTTCGTCTTCCCCACCTTCTTCTTCTATGATTTCCAGTTCATCATCATCAATATTCCCAACAGATTCCTCGCCAACTTCTTCCTCTTCTTCTTCCAAAATTTCTCCTAAACCTTCGTTATCCCTTTGTGCTTCATATTCTATTTCTGTCTCAGGAATTTCTTCTAACACTTCTCTGTGTGCTATCAAATGTTGTCTACTTCTCATTGGTGGTACGTCAATCACTTCTGGTTCTTCTTTCTCTTCTTGTTTTTCTTCTTTCTCTTGCTCAGCATCTTCTGATTCTTTGGCTTCGTTTGCACTAGCAAATTTGAACGAGAACGTGAAAATTTTGTGGAGATTCTGCATTGGGATAACGAATGTTAGGGTTAGAATGGTCGATGATAGAAGTATCGCAGATATTTCTTGGACATCGATCTGTAAAATGAAATACATTCTTTATATCCTTTACAATAAATACTAAGTAATTGTAAGCACTAATTTTGCAATTACACAAGTTTGTTTTATGATATGGGAAAAGGTTCATCATCATCAACAGCCTGTAAGTGGCCACTGCAGACCAAAAGCCTCTTCTCGCACAGAGAAGGTTTGTGCATTAATAACTACGCTTGCTCAATGCGGGTTGGCGGTTTCAGGCTTATAATTACAAATTATAACCCCAGCGGGGTTTTTATGACGTCCTAAAGAAACTTGGGACTTGAGGGAAAGAAACAGAGCTATACAAGTCGTCTAGCGAGATCTCGTCCCCACAGCCAAACCACTCTGGCTTTAAGACGTCGTTTCCTCGCGCTGTTTTCCTTCATGGTTTGTCAGTGGTGTCTATATAATCTTAGGAAGTACATATAACTCGGTAAAAGTCACATTGGTACTTGCCGTTGGTAGGTTTCGAACCCGCATTTCTTTCAGTACGTATAACAAATCATAGCTGTTCTTACCAAGGACATAAGACTAAATTCCCTGGAAGTCTTGACGGTACCAATGCTGGTTATAAACACGATGAACTGGGTCAGGTAAAGGGCGTAGGACAAACGACTGATCAGCACCAAAGGACGGCAGCATAAGAAACGTGACAGGACACCTGAAGAAAAATACTAGCATTAGCTTAATTAAACACTTTTTTTGTACAAACTCATGCTGTTTAATACATTAATTCATGAGATTTTATCTTTAGAAGTACGGCACTAATTCTCTACTATTATTATTTAAATGTATTCTCGGATACGCTTAGTGCTTTTACAGAAATCAGAAATCTAATTAGAGTTCTAAAAAGTAACTAAGTTAGATTTAAGTTCATTAACCTCTGAAAACCAATAGTTTATTTCTAAAAAGTAATGGTTTAATCTGAAACGATTTGACTCCCACATTATTCAGGTCTTAAAACTTTGAAATCGAATTTCCAATCAAATAATAGATTCAGTTTTAACAGAATACCTCTTAAGGTGCTCTCACACATCAGTTATGTGTTTAACGTTATACCGCATTGTGTAACATGATAACATTTAGTACCATTCTACCATCACCTCACTATGCTCTATAACATGTCAACTACAACTACTACTAGAACTTTTGTTACAATTTGTTTAAAAACAAATATTAAGTCAGTCTCTGACGTTATATAACTGCTGTGTGGGAGCACCTTTAAAAATACAAAATTCTGCCTAAAGAATACAACTTATGACTCATTGTTGGTGTATAATCGATATTATAATTTCGTGCACCATACATATTTACTTTTTTTTTTTTGAAAAACTCAAATTTCGATATTATATTCTTTTTAATAGTTATGCATACCTTCACCAGAGCTGTGGACGGCATAAATCACCCAGGCGATAGCGAGGGCAGAAGCAATTGGTGCAAGGGCAGCGTACTGCGCAGCAAATGAGGCACTGTATCGATATTGTAGGGAGCCTGAATCGACGACTGCCCACCATACAAGGAACCATAGCGCTGTGCTGGACAACCATCCAACACCGAGGATGAACTGGGAAAAGTAAAAATAAACTTTAATTTAATACTAGTAATATAATATAAACGGCATGACATGTAGCTCATACTCCTAACTTAACACCATTGCATGTACTCTTGTCATATTACTCATGTTAACGCAAATAAAAAATATCTTTATCTTTAATGCTTTTCATGATAATTTCTCAAACAATTACTAATTACAAAATGGATAATGAAGAACAAGCTTGCGTTTTCGACAGAAAAACACACTAGGAATGGAATTACGTTTTTCTATCAGTTTTGTCCAAGTGACCTAAATATGTATAATAGGGCACATGCCTAATTAGACACGTATTTTTTTATTTCCTTACAGAAACGAATACTTTCGACGATATATTGATTTCAAATGTCGCGTGACGTCACATCTATGTATGTAGATTTTATACGTAGAAATGACGTTTTAGCCCCCACTCCTAAACTTTGATTCGTTTTATCTAAGTATTGTTTTATTATACCACAAAAAAAATACGTTTATAATATTTTTAATTACCTAACTTACGGACTAATTAGATTTATAATTTTCATACCCTGTGATCATCCCAATTAAAATGATTTTGAAAGTCTGTAAAGAATTCACAAATCCTACACGACATTTCGGCACCTATATTTTTGATACTATTATACTTTGATTGCACTTATGCCCAAATACTCAAAGGCAACTCAATATTAGGTCGCTCGTAAGTATAGTTCTGTCACTACAAATTCTTTGTCTAAATGAAAGAGATGGACAATATTTAACTTCAACTTAAAATTAGTTTTAGTGAATAGGTAACCTTTCAGTATTCAGAAGTTATATAAAGTTACTTTGATACATGAAGGCACTTCCATTACATTTTAATCCCACACGTGTTGTATTCTAATAGAGGTACTTAATGACAATATTTAATATGAAAATTAGTTGAGTTTTAATGATACAGCATTGAAATGCAGCTGCTAATTATCAAACTATGCAAGTCATGTCATACGTCAAACTTTTTGAAGAAGCATCGTATAGTAGTCGCCCTATTTAACAATAGCTGTTACCCGCGACTCCGTCCGCATTCCTGTTTTATCCCACATTAACATTTAATTAGGATAAAAAGTAACCTACTAACTGCCTCGTTGGCCGAGTGGCCGCAAGTGCGACTGCCGAGCAAGGGGTCTCAGGTTCGATTACTGGGTCGGGCAAAGTATTACTGGGTTTTCGGTGGCAATAGGTGCCGTAAAGTGCACGTCTTCCTACCTCTTCGGAAAGTAAAGGCATGATGTTTTGTTATGTCAAAAGTATCCTATCACCTGAGTTAGCCCGTACACTGCCTGTAAACCAAATTCTCAAAATCCGTTCATTAGTTTTAGCGTTATTGACGGACAAACATTCATACGAAGACACTTTCACATTTTTGTTATATTAGTGCGCTTATTATGCCCTGTTTGGGCGAGTGATAGCCACAGCTGCAGAGCAAGGCAGTTGGGCTACATTTCCCAAGTCATTGGGGCGTTCA